CACGTACGAAACATGATACACTATCATCAGCTTCATGAACCGAGTAAGCTGCACTTGGACTACTTTATGAAGAGCTGAAGACGGCTTGAGTTTTGTAGTTCACTAAGCAACATCACGATTGAGTGGCACGTACTGCATCAACTTTAAACGTGAATTTAGGCTTGCAGATTTAACTTTGTTCTGAAAACATTTGGAGCAACTCTTAATGATGTTGTGTATTCCAACCCCTCTACCTCTAGCGGTGTAAGTGCGATGTAATAATTCTGATTAAAGGTAAGCTAACAGCAATGCAGTAGTTGTTAATGCTGTCAAATAAGAGTGTTGAGATTTTGAAGTAAAATTATGAAGTTTGACTGCATTAGCAAAAACTTGAAACTCACAACTGCAAAAGTTTAAATTAAAACTTTAAAAATTTTTATTTTAAAAATAGTAAACTCTAAAATAATTTAGATTGCTTATTTTTATTTATTATTTTTTTTTTCCATTTTTTTATTATGGCAAACGTATGTATTTTGTTTTTAAAATATGCAGCGAAAAATAACTTTTATTCTTGACATCATTAAATTTTTATGAAAATTTAGTTCAAAATGGTCTTTCTATTTTAGCATATTTCTCTCTCAGTATCTTTTTTTATATTTGCATGTTAAGTATTTTTATGTTTCAAGTGTTTCATTGCCGTGAGTAACACAGCGAGCACACAATTCGCTTCAATGGAACTTGTATCCTGCAGCAAGTTAATACTTTATTTTTTTATTTTTTATTTGGTATTTCAGAAATCCTTGCAAGCTGAGCGCTAAATATATTAAAATTATTACTGAAAGCAAAGCAAAAAATAACTTTGAGCAGTTTTTTGTAGACACCTTAAACTTGGTTAACTTTAAGTTTAAGTTAAGTTCAGCTTTAAAATGTTCACCCTTTAAAATGTACAGTCGTAAGATACAGCCAACGTTATTTATTTCGCTCGATGATTCTATTCATTTATTTGAAAATGTCAAATTCAGCATTAATCATCAGTCAATGTCAGCACAATGAGGATATTTTACGCAGCTGAATGTGGTTTCTTGTAACGATTACGGTTCCTGTAGCAATTATTGGGGACTTATTTTTTGCCATATAATAAAATATTTTTTGTCATATGATAACATATTTTTTCCTGTGTTTGATGGCACATTATTGATAAAGGTTTTGTCATTTCAATTTCAAAGAAGTAAGGAAAATGTTTGCGATTCTTTATAAAAAAAACCCAATTATATTTTACTTTGACTAAAATAAAGAAATTGTATCTAATATCCTGTGAAAGAGGTTCTACGGAATTATATCAATATGAAACTTTATATTAGTACAATCGTTGTAATAAGTAAAAGTCTGATGATTTAAAATACAAAATAAATAAGTAAAAGTTAAATAAAATTAATAAAAAAAACAAATATCTAAAGAATACTTAATAAGTCTCTGTTGTAATATTATATATAAATGTGAAGTATGGAGACTACGGGAATATATTAATTAATTATTATTATTTTATTAATTATTTATTATTAATTTCTTTATTAAAAAGATACGAAAATTACAGATTGCATATAACCACGAAGTAGAAAACCTATTGTTAAATTTGAAATCTCATAATAATTGGTAGCTATATCATGTTTGCAAGGAAAAGAATACCGTAAAATATATTTGAGGTGCTCATGATTAGTGGGAAGTACCGTAGAGTTGATCAATCGACGATGTGTACGAAAAATGACCTCAACTGATTATAAATATGAACAACAGCTCGTGACTAATTATTAATTATCTGTTGTTTGGTGTAAGATTATGAGTTACAGTAAGCTAGAAAGCACAATGGAACAAATGGTATACAGCTGATTATTCCTATTAGAAGAGATAATGGTATATCGCAACACTTGAAATCTATTGTGCTATTCTGGTAGATAGCTACTTCTACTAATTAAACTTGAATATATTAAAGCTATTGATAAATCTTACAATTCCCTTTAGTTTACGACTCCACATCTCTTTCAGTTCAACAAAAGTTAGATAAAGTCAGCGATAATCGATGAATGCGGGGTGATAGATAAAAATAAATTGCACAGCATGTGCCGGTATCAGTGTCGATTGTTGTAGCGGCAAATTGACAGATTTCCTCTCACTTTTCTTAATTATCAATTATTCGCAATTTTACTTACAAAGTCCTTGCAAGAAATCAAACGAGAAGAACAGTTCGAAAAACTGTTAGAAAATTACTTCTTTAAAAGCTTGTTTCTTTTGGAAGTCATAACACTATGCAGTCATAGAAAAAATCTTTAAATATTTTTTTTTCCTGTAAATTCTCACAATTTCTACAATGACTAATAAAAAGAATGCGCAGTTTCTCTACCTGAGTTCTTATACACCTATGTCTAGAGAGAAATATATTAAGCTATGTAGTACTTACCCATTGAATATACATATGTGGTAGTTAAATATATCCTGTAAAGAAATCAGTGATGAATCTGCGTGAAGATCTATTTAGACAAGAAACATGTAAACAATTTTGTTCTTGTCATGAATGAACTTTTTGAATTACGTTCTGCCTATGAAACCGACTCATCACCATAGAGTAATGAGGCTTTCTAAGTATTGTCAGACAAATGGATATTTAGCATATTATCCGTCAGTTTCTCCTCCTCCTTCGCAAGCTCGTCAGGCACATCGTTACCTCGAAATTTTTTAACCTAAATAAGTTCTGTTTTATTTTTACTAACCAATATATAAGTAACAGGTCATTTTAAATTTAATTTTTAAATTATAGTACAGCGAATTCAAGTGGTATTAGAACTGTGACGGTCATGTCAGCTAGCATAAATAATCAATTATTTAAATTAATTTTTATCATTAATTAGAGAATTAAGTTTTTGCGCTATCACAACCAAAATATTCCATATTTCAATTATATAAAATTTAAAATAGTTTTATATAATTTGTAAATTAAATTTTATCAATTTTCTATGTACTCCGTAAATAGTCGCATTACGGAAGTGCATGAAAAGTAATGGCAACCTTAATTAGTGAAAAGTTAGATAAAATAAAAAATTCTCATTAGAGACAGAAATATCATATTTTCTATGTAGAAAGTTTTAGAACATGGCGAAAGGTGAATTTGTATCAAATGCAGACAGGAGGCAACTAATTTTTGAGGTTAATGTTCCTAAAAATGTGTTTATTACCCACAACGTTACGGTACAGCACTGGAAAACTTTTAATTCTATTTTGAATATAATTTCATATTAAAAATTAAGTAAAACTTTCCTTGAAATTTATGCTGATATGAAATTACGTATACGCCTTCGTACTCATTCAGGTACGAGGCAAACAGTATTGTTAAGTGCAGAGTGTAGTACTCGTAGTACAATCAAATGTAGATGTTTGGAAAGTTTTTTAATTTTCTTCTCACAATTTTCCGGATCTTCTGGGTTAATTTCTAACTTTAAACTAAAACTGACATCAGACACTTTTAAGCTATAATTTTATTTTAACCGGCATACATCGTAAATTCATGTGCCTTCAAAGGATAACATCGAATTTATTTATGCATAAATATTAAATATTCTACTTTGTGGTGGTGGAGTTAGTTGCAATTTAAATTTTGAGCAAATTTAAAAGTTTCTTGATAAATAATAGTGGTATTATTATTATTGGAAATAAAAAAAGGGATAGTGCACTGTGACATTAAAGATCTATTGTGCCCCTTAGTCGGATTAGAGTGTTTCTCCAAGTTCAAATGAAAGACTGTATGGAGCCTATACCATATTTTCTAGTTTTGGATCCTTATGAAAAGCCTTCTAGGTGTTTCTTCCGCTTGTGCATCAATGCCGGGCACTCCCCAATCACACGGTATGCAGTGTGTTCCTCTTTCTCTACAGTATCTGTAATCTAAGTTGGATTGAGTTCCTAACTTCGATGGGTGATTATTCAATCCGGTTAATAATCCCGAAATAGGTTTTTTTTGATTGTGTTGTGCAATCTTTGAAGCCTTTTAAGTTGCAAGTCCCTAAAAGTATTTCAGATTGTGATAGTCCTGGTTGCCTTTTCCAGTAGAATTCTCTTTCTTTTTCCACTGTATATGAGAATGGATAGAATTCCTTTGCCAAGACCACAGAATGGTTCTGAGCCTATCATTCTTTAAGCCGCGTCTCTTATAGTGGTAATAATAAAAACAAATTTATTTTGCAAAAAATTAAAAATTTAATTTT